CGCTTTTGTCACGAATCTTTTTCTGTCTGCAATTGTTTTCTTTTTAATAGCAATATGCTATTATCTTATTAATTAATTAATAGTTTCATTTTCATATTTTATTTTTTTTCTAAATAATCTTTGTGTATTTATCCCACACACATAAAACATTTTTTCCTATACAATATCAGTCTAGTTGAGAGTAACGAAAAATTCTTGTAACTACATCACAAGTTCTTGCATTATGTATCGATCGATATGTCCACAAAAACATATTGAAAGAAAGACACACACATTTGGATGTCTACATGTGTGTATGACATGTCAATTTTGTTGAGTTTACTTATTCCAACGGTGTCGGCCAAATAATATACCTGAACCGGCCGGTTTGAAAGAACAATTATAATAAAATTAAGTACGTGGCATGTCGTTGGTAGAGATATGGGTGGATTAAGATGGCGCAGCCATGGGCCATGAGCAATCTTAAGTCATTCTAATTAAAAGTATAATTATTCTATTAGTTAATCTCGAACCGAAAGCGTGAGTTCTCTGTGGCACCAAACATGGATTATTTATTTTAAAACATTATCATATAATCTCCTAACGATAAACGCGATGGCTATAATATATTAAAATTTAAACTAATCTAAAAAAAGATTTATATATAGATCGATAACACACTCGCTTTTCGGATTTCTTTACTTTTAAAAAATTATAAATAACGTTTTGATGATTCGACGATTTACTCTTTTGTTTTTTTAAAAAAATTAATCAACCAAAAAGAATGTTCCTAAACACATCATCACCAACGGAAAGTTACATACTTAGTTGACTGCTCTCGTAAGATTATGATGTGGAAATCTTAATAAAGAGCCATATAATTTTGTTAAACCGATAACCACTTGACATCATCCAAAGTTCGGTTAGTGGAATAATAAAAAGATTAGATGGTAGGAATCGAATTTTCACGTTTCTCTATTATTTGTCACTCACTCGCTACTGCAATTCATGACGAGACGAAGAAATATTTTATTTTAAAAACTTATCAACTACATTGTCTCGATCATTTGATGATGTGTTTTAACTTTCTTGTAAACGACAATCTATAATTCATAACATATGTATTCTATACATATAAGCCTGATTTATAGGAACCTAGCGACGCAAAAAGAAAACATTACATAGTAGTTTCTTTTTTCCTTTCTTCTTTAAAGTGAATTTAATTTTTATAATGAAATGGAAGTAGAATACAAATGTCATTATTTCTCTTATTTTTTAGATATGGTTGTGTGAATAATAATAATAATTGCGTGATCAACTAGTAACTACTAAACCAACAACGTAATCTAAACATAAACCATCAACAGATTACCAAATACGGAAAGTCAAAGATGAACTCACATCCATGAACATATATTTTTTCTCGTTTTTTCTTCATTTTTGTAAATCATATAGTCGTTCAATATTAGGGACGACTACGTTGCTCCATGGTCTCACTCACATATATGGAAAGGAAAAATAATCATCAATAAACATATATATATTCTCCGCCAAATAATTTTATTTGTGTAACAATATATTCTTTTTGGCTCAAAAATAACTTGATTTAGAAAAAGCGATGGTACAAGGTTACTGAGAACATTTCCAACGTAAAGAGTGATATAAATTCATTAGTATATAATTCATGGGATTGTTGAAAAGATGCAGATATATAGTCATGTTTAAGAGAATACTCAGTACGTAAGAAAACTCGAAAACATTAAACTAGTTACAAAAACACGTTTTTGTCGAGGCTCTCCAAGAAAGACTATAAACCAGGGACTCTTGTCTTCTGTTTTTGAGTCAGATGAATATATTGAATACTCCAACCCAAGGGAAGATAAAATAAAATAATTTAAGACAGCACAAGAAATGGAATCGTTGAGTTGGATACAGGTAGGAATCCGAATATAAATAATTAGGTTTGAAATTGCATGAGAGCAACATGGAGATATATATAGTATTTTATGATACTAGTAATTAGGAAAGTTACTATTTCAGCTGGTAGTAGTATACTATGTAGCGTTATCATTTTATTTTGTAGTGAATTTTAAAAATTACATGTCTTTTCTAATGCAAATTATACTTAAAAAGAATTCTCTAATACGTATGTTTTTTTCCATTCAATGTGAAAGCTACGAAAGCTAACAATATCCCAACGCATTATAATTTAATAATAAGACAAGTCGAGGTTTCTTAGGTGAAAAAAAACAAAACAGATTTCTCAAAATCTTTTTTTTTTTTTTCTATTAATCGATATATCGTGTGTTTACGTTGACAAAACAGGGGACTCATATGGAAAACTTATTTTACCGACAAAAAAAAAAATATAATTGAAAAAAAAAAACGAAATTGGCAAAGCTAAAATAAAAGCTAAAGGACCAAGTTGAGGAAATATCGGGTCCACCAGGGTGACCAATAACAACTCGTCCGTACTAATAATATCTATTTATACCTATGTTTGTTGTTTCCATTTTATTTTATTTTATTTTTAGCATCATAATAAATCAGATACTTTTCCTCTTTTTTTTTTCTTTTTTTTTTTTGCACTGTTATCTATTTTGTTTCTCTACCAGTCACACATTAAATTTCCATGGTTTTTCTAGCCTTTTATTTTTATAATTCTAAGTTCTGTCATTATTTTTTCGTATATGAAAACAACTTTACTATCTTTGTAATATCTACAGAACAATTATAGAGAAGGAACAAACTAACTATATATATTATGTATCACTTTCGAAAGAACTAAAACCATATTTTTTATGTACAATAAATTTGGAACTCAAAGTACTTAGCTAGAATCATAACATGAAACATAGTTGAGTCCAATCTCTCCTACGGAGACAAATTCCATGATATAAGAAAGCTAATTGAGCTACAAAATGCCACGTGACACCATACTCAAAATTTCTCTATGGAAGATTCAACAACCATCTCCTTGTCATATATAGAAGCTGTCGTACACATAAAAAATCGGGTTGAATTTTCAAAAACATTTGGTTAGATTATGATTAAGCATTTTAATACTAATTAATAATTAGTGTGCCTAGACGATATAGCCCACCAATATAAATATTTTGAGCCATATATGTATCTCTTTTAATAAGAAGAAGAGAAGAAAAAAAAAAGGTAATAAAGAGTGGTGCTGTCAAGAAATGCCCATATTATGAATCATCCACACAAGACACGTACGACCATGCCTCCTAGTGATTTGTCATTTGCCCCACTTCCCATCCTAGTGGATCAATTTGATACTACTAAATAATAAATAAATATATAAATATTAAACCTACAAGAATTCAAATAGAAACCGGCAAAAATCAATTAATGAAAGGAAATCGTCAACAAAATTTCTATTGGAGCAAGGGAGAGCCAATAAAACTTTCGGATCTTACGATATTTTCGCAGTGGTCTGATTGGGTGCTTCTTTGCATAATAATAATAATATGAAACCTAACTAATGGTATAGAAGAAGAAGAATACTTTGGCAAAGCAACAAATATATCGGATAAGATCGTAAACCTATCCACATCATCACTTGTGTTATTTATTTTGCAAACCTTACTCTATATAATGCATATACATATTTATATATCAACTGCTTATGTAATTATTTGTATGTCAATAAAAGTAAAAAACACGATGAAAGCAGCGAATTCAATAGGATTCATGTTTTACCAGTACGAAATATTTGTGATGTTGTCGGTTGCTGGCTAAAAATATTGATTATATCTATATATACGAAATATATGCAACTAAAATACATTACATTCACTTATACAAATTGAAAAAAAAAACGTAATAGAAATGGGATATGATGTATTATACAAAAGAAACAAACTAGAGAGAAGAAGGCCGATAGTTTTATGAATTTGGAATCTATCGAGCATATATATAATACGGACGGACAATAATCTCCATAGCAAATATTGTACATGTTTTTTTTTCCTATAAAAAGAAACGTAGGTTCGTAGGATAATATTGAAGAAAGATATAAAAGAAGAATAATATAACGTTTGGAAAATGAGAAGAAAAAATAGAAATCCCAAGACATACAGAATATATATAAAAAAGCATAAATATCCTAAGCCTAACTATATAACGACTAAATCTTTAACATGGTTATCATATAAGTTTACATATCCTAAGCCTAACAAACACTTAGCATCATTGTAATCTAAACGTGGTAATAAAATTTAATATTGTGTTAACCTACTATGCTTATACCATGACTTCAAAAAAGGAAAAAACTATTTATGAATCATATCACTGAAGATTGAAGAATAACAATCAGATTTGGAAGAGGGAAAAAAAGTAAAAGAGACACCACATCCAGATTTAGCATCATTATAATAATGTAAACATGGTAATCAAAATCTAAGATATTAATTTAGTTTTGGGATATAGTTATTATGGTTAAGAGTAAATAATAATACAATAATAATGGAAAGAAGAAGCATCAAAACTCAGGGGGGATGAACTTCACTAAAAATGATATCTCAATATCTCTCACGTGGACCCTTTATCCCCCAATCCTGACCCACACGTTGGTCCTACTTCCCCATGCACACTGCCCACAACATATTCATTTCCATTTTTGTTTCTTTTTTACATTTAAAAAAAAAAAAAAAAAACCGAACGTATAACATTCCAAAAATATTATTATTATTGCTTTCATGTACACAAGTAAACAGGTTCATGAAATTGACCTTATATAGTAACCTAAAATTAAATGCGGTATCTTTCTATATGTTTCTACGACGAAGCTTCCTTTAGGTTTTATTTCTTTTTGGGTTGTTGAGTTGACCCATAAACACATCACACAAACCCATATTACTTCCCATACACCTTACCCATATACTATAATTACTCCCCCTCATACACGCCTTCTACCAAAATACACACACACTCTTATATTTTCTCATTTTGTTCTTACCCAAATTTAAAAAGTGAAAAATAAAATAATAGTAATCAGAAGTGACACTTGCCGTTTCTTATTTCCCTCCCCAGTAGTATTCTCTCCTTCTTTCTATATATATATATACACACACACACGTATACAACATATACAACACAACACAACACAACACATTTCTGTTTTCTCCATTGTTTCTCAAAACATAAAACAGAAGAAAAAACTCAGATTAGATGGAAGTGAGCAGCGTAGACGAGAGTACTACAAGTACAGGTTCTATCTGTGAAACTCCGGCGATATCTCCGGCGAAAAACTCGTCGTCGGTTGGTAATAACTTATACCGGATGGGAAGCGGATCAAGCGTCGTCTTAGATTCCGAGAACGGCATCGAAGCTGAGTCTAGGAAGCTTCCTTCTTCCAAGTACAAGGGCGTTGTGCCGCAGCCAAACGGGAGATGGGGTGCTCAGATTTACGAGAAGCACCAGCGCGTGTGGCTCGGCACTTTCAACGAGGAAGACGAAGCCGCTCGTGCCTACGACGTGGCCGTCCACCGTTTCCGCGGCCGCGACGCCGTCACCAATTTCAAAGACGTGAGGATGGACGACGACGAGGTCGAGTTCTTGAATTCTCATTCGAAATCTGAGATCGTCGATATGTTGAGGAAACACACTTACAACGAAGAGCTTGAGCAGAGCAAACGGCGCCGTAACGGTAGCGGGAACACCGTCAGGACGATGTTAACCTCCGGGTTGAGCAATGATGGTGCATCCACGACGGAGTTCAGATCGGCTGAGCCACTCTTTGAAAAAGCCGTTACGCCTAGCGACGTCGGGAAGCTTAACCGTTTGGTTATACCGAAGCACCACGCCGAGAAACATTTCCCGTTACCGTCGACCAGCGTCTCCGTGAAAGGTGTGTTGCTGAACTTCGAGGATGTTAACGGGAAAGTGTGGAGGTTCCGTTACTCGTACTGGAACAGTAGTCAGAGTTATGTCTTGACCAAAGGTTGGAGCCGGTTCGTTAAGGAGAAGAACCTACGTGCTGGCGATGTGGTTAGTTTCAGCAGATCTAACGGTCAGGATCAGCAGTTGTACATTGGGTGGAAGTCGAGATCCGGTTCGGATTTAGAGCCCGGTCAGGTTTTGAGGTTGTTCGGAGTTAACATTTCGCCGGCGAGTTCGAGGAACGACGTCGTAGGGAACAAGAGATCAGTGAACGATACTGAGATGTTATCGTTGGTGTGTAGTAAGAAGCAACGCATCTTTCACGCCTCGTAACAACTCTTCTTCTTTCTTTCTTTTCTTTTCTTTTTTTTTTTAATAAAAAAACTCTTAGCTCTCCACTTTCGTTTTTTCTTCCTTTTGTTGCATCGATTTCTTCTTGTTTACCAAAGGTTCATGAGTTGTTTTTGTTGTATTGATGAACTGTAAATTTTATTTATAGGATTTAAATTAAAAGGGTTACTTATTAGAGATGTCTCAAGAGTTTTTTATATTAGCATGAGATGATGATGAGAATGTTTTTACCAAATCAAATCTTTACCTTGTTTCTTTCATTTTATGTGTATGGGAACGAGTGTTGGTTTATAATATATATGTATATGCGTTAGCTAACTGGTTATGCTCTTTGCTCTTTTGTTAATGGAGAATACTACGAACACTAAAATAACAAATGGGTTCTAAACAATGAGTCGACTAGTATAGTAATTAAGAAAGTGTTGAGCTATTGGTATATCATATATGCCAAGATTAGAGATGTTTTGTTAGAACGTAATCTTTCCAACAAATGATTATTTTCTTCTGAAAGTAAAACAATTTGCAGGGTCTGCTGCAAACGTATATCATATATGTAAAGATAGACTATAGAGTATAGAGTATAGACTATATAGACCATGCTCCGATCCAAATAACAAAGAAAAAGATATTTTTAAAATCAATGCACACATATCGTAGTTGCTTACACAGACGTTTCAGAAATCTTTTGTTGGTAAAGATCTATGTTACTGTTAAATCGTACTCTCTCAATAATGATACCTGCAGTGTTTATAAAAGTGTTTTTCTTTTACAAACTTAGTAAATAATAGCGCTATATATTTAATTTCGGACGAAAATGAATGGTTCAAACGATTAATATTTCAACCTTTTTTTAGAAATGTGGCCTCTATACGTTATGAGTTAAAGTTTGATCATATGATGATGATGATCGTAATAGTACACCTGCTGCATAACATTAGTTATAAGAAATAGAATGAACGTACACAAAGGAATATATTGACCGTTGATCTTATGAATGTTCCGTTCATATGCACTTTTTTTTTTCTTTCTTTTCAATACAATTCGGTGGACTAAAACATTATATTCCATAATAGCATAAAAATCCTTTTATACATTTAAATCTGCCCACGCAATTCTACATATGTTTTTGTCTAAAATACACACATCCACACATAATTCAAGTTGCATTCGTATAGCAATGAAAAGGACAATACTAGCTAGAATCCCTAACCAACATAAGTTTAAATCTATAAAATTTCTATAATACGATCAAAATCTAATTAAAGACCAAAAAAGTTAAACATATATACTTTAGTAACTATAAATTTATAGTTACTAAACTTTACAATTTAATCACTTTATCTCTATTATATAATTTCGGCTTATTACAAAAGCATGCTAATAAAATAGATTAACATAAAAGTAGATATATGCATAAATTGTTTCACAAAAAAAATCTATTTAGCAATATGTATGTGACGGAAAAAGAAGAAGCTATATGTATGTTTTAGATTTTGTCAGAAACTTCATAAACCTCATATGGCCTCAAGTAGCCCATGTTTAATCGATCATCTACAGGCCTGATGGGCTTAATCCAGTAAATAATACCGGATAAAATATCAAGAAACATTTTTTTATTTTTTTTTAATTAATCAAAGAAACATTAATTTATCGATTCGCTGCAAATTTTTGATATTTTGGGTTTAGCAGTGAAGTTGCGAAAATGGCGTCTTCGGTTTCTCTATCCAGTTTCACGTCATCGTCTTCACTGCAACTCTGTTCTTCCTTTAACGGAGAGTACTTAGCGCCGTCGAGATGCTTTATCGGAGCTCCGGTCACTTCCTCTTCTCTATCACTCTCCGGTTTGTCATTTTTACTTAGTCACTGTTTCTTCTTTTGCTCTGTTCGTTTGATTCAAAGCTTTCTGGGAATTGTAGCTTCGTGTTTTATTGGAAGATAATGAATGATTATAAAAAATTGAAACTTTCTCCGTTGTTCCAATTTTGAATGTTGTATAATTGAAGAACTGTGGTGTATGAAGCTTATCTTCTCACATATCTCTGCAGGTAAGAATAATTCATATTATCCGAGAAAGTTCTACGTTTCTGCCAAGAAAGTTTCTGGTTTGGAGGAAGCCATTAGAATCAGAAGGTATCAAGAAAAATGCAATCTTGACTGAATTCAAGACTTTGTCCTTTTTATTTCTAGGTCATAGAGCTAACAATACATTTTGTTTGATTTACATTTCTCTAGAATGAGAGAGCTTGAAACCAAAACAAAAGTTAGGAGAAATCCACCTCTAAGACGTGGAAGAGTATCACCTCGTCTTCTTGTACCTGATCACATTCCAAGGCCTCCATATGTTGAGTCTGGTGTGTTACCGGATATATCCAGTGAATTCCAGATTCCTGGTCCTGAAGGCATTGCCAAAATGAGAGCTGCTTGCGAGCTCGCTGCTCGGGTTTTAAACTATGCTGGAACTTTGGTTAAAGTAAGATTTTAGGGTCCTTGTGGATCTCTCTTGTTTCTTCTATATTATGCATATATGTGGCCTGAGCTGTTGTTCATATGTTTATGCAGCCATCTGTTACAACTAATGAAATCGACAAAGCTGTGCATGATATGATTATTGAAGCTGGTGCTTATCCTTCACCTCTTGGATATGGTGGATTTCCTAAAAGTGTGTGTACATCAGTTAATGAGTGTATGTGTCACGGAATACCGGATTCTCGCCAGCTACAGGTCCGCAAGTGTGATTTTTACTGCTTTAAGCCGAGTAGATTTTAAAGGAATAAATATGTTTTATCACTAACTATTACCTCTTACTGCAGAGCGGGGATATAATAAACATCGATGTCACGGTTTACTTGGATGTAAGTCATTTGGGATTCTTTTTTTTTCATATAATTTGTAGGCACTAGGCACTATTACTTTCTGTCTTTCACTTTGTTTGATTTCTACATACAACTTGAAACATCTTGTATACATTGAATTATATAACACTTTTTGGGGTTCGCAACTTCAACAGGGTTACCATGGCGATACATCGAAAACTTTCTTCTGTGGAGAAGTCGACGAAAGTTTCAAACGACTTGTGAAGGTAGTATTCTTCTTCTCCACTGTATTTTCTCTTTTCAAAATCACAATAAACGGATAATGTTTTAATATGCTGTTTGGTGTTGGTTTTTTGTTCTGTAAGGTCACGGAAGAATGCTTGGAGAAAGGTATAGCCGTTTGTAAAGAAGGAGCAAGCTTTAAGAAAATCGGGAAAAGAATCAGGTAGCAACCAAAACTATTCTTGATTTAGTATAAACGTGCATAAATGTATCATTTGAGGACCTTAACAATGCTGCTAGGCAAAACATTCTCACTGGTTTCAATTTCCAACAGTGAGCATGCGGAAAAGTATGGCTACAACGTTGTGGAGCGGTTTGTTGGGCATGGTGTTGGACCAGTATTCCACTCCGAACCCCTTATATATCATTACCGTAAGTAATCTCTTTCTTAGCAAAATCGCTCTTATGTTAGGAAAACAAAAATGTTTCAGGTTTTTTTCTTTCTATAATCTGTAATGTAACCTGGAAGCATCAATCAAAAACAATAGTTGGCAGCATAAGCACATGAACAGCTCTGGCATCATGATTGTATCTGTAAATGCCACGTCTTTAGTCAAGAATTAATCTTTGGTGACTCATTTTCTATCCAATTTGCAGGAAATGATGAGCCTGGACTTATGGTTGAGGGACAAACTTTCACAATTGGTTAGCCATTTTTATCCCTTCCATTTCATGGCATTTTTTTGCTTGTGATTAGTTGAATACTATATAACAAAAAAAACCGATGAATACAACCTGCTGCAGAACCGATTCTCACGATAGGAACCACGAAATGTGTAACATGGCCAGACAACTGGACTACTCTGACAGCAGATGGTGGCGTCGCTGCTCAGTTTGAGCACACCATTCTGATTACTAGAACTGGTTCAGAGATTCTTACCAAATGCTGAAACTATTCATATTGATCATTTTCCATTTCACCTTGATTTCCATTGCCGCTCCTGTAAGATCCACAGTTAAAGCTTCCAAAAGGTGACTTTTCCTTCTGAGAATTTCCCGGTTTTTTGTGTGTTACAGTACCAATTGACTGAACTGATGCACTTAATCCTTTTCTTGATCACAGCTCAAGAGAGATAGTAGTAGAAGAAGTATGAACCAGACAAAGGCTGGTGTTTCAATTGAACAGCTATTTGCTCTCAGCATACACTTTTGTGGTTAGAAATACTTGAAAATGCTTTAGAAAAAAAACTGTTAGAGCATATTATATAACATATGTTTCTGAAAGAAAGAAAAGCTCATTGGCATCAACGAAGTAAAAGACCTTTAGAAAATTATAAAAAAGGGGGAAAATATATTCATTTAAATTGTAATCGCGTTTTCCACATGGTGCATTCCCTTTCAAAACCTTAAGATTAAATTATAGAGCAGACGACAGCACAAACTCAATCTTATGATGCATTCCCCCTTAATTCAGATCTCAAGATTAGTTTTGATATCTGAAATTCCCCACATGTTCAGTCAAGTCCTTTTTTATTTCACTATAATTATAGATATCTCTTACTTGTTGTTGAGAGTTGAAAAGGTAAAATTTATTACAAAGCTGAGACCCACTTTCCCATATTTAGGCACATGCGTCCTCATCATTCATCAAATGCCATAGTACAAAAAGCATCCATTATTAAATAAAGAAGCTCATCACTTCAATCAGTAACGCAAAAATCAGTTTCTCTTTGTACAAGAGTTTAATTACAATCACCAACACAGGCAAGTCTATGATCATGGCTTCATCTGCTGCTGCATCGATCTCTATGTTAACTCTAAGGAACTTCTCTCGCAATCATCAATCTCACGAGAGCTCTCTCCTAGGTCTCTCCAGATCATTCCATAACCTAAGGATCTCATCTAACGGTCCAGGTTCCTCCCCTAGAGGTTTCTTCAGAACCTTTTGCAGCAGCAGCAGTAGTGAGAACTCCAGACCAAGTAAGTAAACGTTATGATCCAATCAAGTACTCATTTCATGTAGTATCAAATTCAATTGCCTCACATTTAAGTACCCATTTCATGAACTGAGGAATCTAGGATAAACTCTTAAGGAAACGGGTACTTAAAATTTTGACCTTTATGATTCAGAAATCAGAATCACCTATGAAATGTTCTTGGGATAAAAAAAGAGTTGACCTTTATTCTCAAAATCAAGAACCAATGTCACAAAAACAGATTTTACTATCTCTTGTCAGCTAAAATTCAAGAACTGAACGTGTATGAGTTCAACGAAGGAGATAGAAACAGCCCAACGGTTCTAAAACTCGGGAAAAAACCAGATCAGCTTTGTCTCGGCGATCTTGTCCCCTTCACAAACAAACTCTACACAGGAGATCTCACGAAACGCATAGGAATCACCGCAGGTCTCTGCGTTTTGATCCAGCACGTTCCAGAGAAGAAAGGTGATCGCTTTGAAGCTTCTTACAGCTTCTACTTCGGAGATTACGGTCACATTTCAGTACAAGGACCTTATCTCACTTACGAGGACACGTTTCTAGCCATCACTGGTGGCTCCGGCGTCTTCGAAGGAGCTTATGGACAGGTCAAACTTCGTCAGCTTGTGTATCCGACGAAGCTGTTTTACACTTTTTACTTAAAAGGTGTTGTTGCTGATTTGCCGGTTGAGCTTACCGGAAAACATGTTGAGCCGTCGAAGGATGTGAAGCCGGCGGCTGAAGCTCAGGCGACTCAGCCCGGTGCCACGATCGCTAACTTTACTAATTGAAATCAACTTATCACTGTGTGCGTCTTAGTCATGGACCTTTTATGGGCTGTTTCACTGTGTTAAATTTTTAATAATGGGCCTTTGTATTGGGCTTTTAATGGATATTAATGTGTATTATACTCGAGTTGCTGCTTCTGTAAGCTTTAAACGTTCAAGTGCGTGAACTCCACCACCCAAGAGTTTTGTAGACTTTCTATAGCTGGGAAGTTTGGCTTATTAAGTCGTGAGCCTATTTTTGAGTTCAAACTTCAAACTCACAAACGAATATTTATCATGTTTTTTCCACCGAATGCATTATATTATGTATTTTTTCACGATCAGAATTGGTTTTAAACATTGTAATACATCTGATGTTAACCTTTTCCACAAGATAATCGATTTTGTATTATTAGTATAATGAAAAAGATCTATATGTATCAGTTAAGGACATTGCTAGACGAGATTGTTAGTCTTTGATCTTTATAATTTTTTGTTCCTTTGAGAACAAAATAAAAAGGAAAATTAACAGTTGTATAATGTACTCCTTGTTTGAATATATCCAAAGACTTTGGTCATAAACTTGTACTTCAATGCATATGAATTATGAAGTCATATTGAATGAAATATCAGTCCAACACTCCTTCAATATGTATCAGTTTGCAATTTCCAAAACGACATTTATTGCTCCCGTACACCTTCGAGGACCAAATTTTTCAAAGTGTTAAACGAAAATGTTATCTCGATAGTTTATTTTCATATTCAAATCGAGATATAGCTAGTATGAATTATTACAAGTAGTCTGACATTTACACTATTTAGCTATCCTAGCTCACGTAAAATTTTGTTGGTCATAGAGATTCAAAATTTATCTTCCTTACTTCCACTTTATAATAAGCGATGTTATAAGATTTTGCTTTTGTCATACTGATATGCAACATGACATTTTGTACCTTTAATGCGAATAAAAATATTTCAATACTCAGCTCTGTATAAATAATTAGTGCCATATTTTCTTATAGATTAAATTCTATGAAAATAAAAGAAAAAGACTAGTTAAGAGAAGAGAAGATAGAGAGAGACAGTGGCAGAGAAACTGAAGTAACCTAAGAGTCGTGAAATTTCTCTCTCCGAGTGTAAGATAGACAAATGTGTGTAACGTTAGACATCACTACATAAAGTGACAACAGACAGTTTCTGTCTTTGGATAAATCGAACTGCCACTTTCGACGATTTAATTACCATTATACTTTACCTCCATTATTTATCACCACAGATGCGCTCTTATATATCCTAAAATTGAAGTAAAATCGATTATATATGTCATCATATTGTGTGAATCCCAACCATGCTTGAGACTAAAATATGTGCGAGTGTGTTAATTGGTCTCCATCAACGATATGCTAATTTCAAGGCTAAATCATTGATATCTTCAGTTCACTAAAAGCATATTGTCGGACCTTGATCTTAGATCTCCCGTTTACAAATGAAAATATGCATTAAATTATCCAACCAATTGTTTAATTTAGTTTTATGTTTTGCGGTGAGAATATTTACTAAAAATGTATAAATTGTTTATTGGAGACAAGGTTATAAGCACTTGTATAATCCAAAGCCACCACTACATATATTTTTGGAATGTTATAATAAAAAGAGTACTTTTAAAATTCACTAGTTAACGTGAATATACACACCTCACGTTGATAAACCCTAATAACACCCATATAGTTATTAAAATGGGCCATTGAGTTAGTAATTGTCACCAGAAATCTGACCATAACGACGAAAGTGTTCATAACTAATCCCATAGTTCTTCTCTCCACGAACATTTTCTTCATGAGCTTCTTCTTCTTCTTCATCATCATCTTCTTCCTCTTCTTCCTCCTCCTCATCATCTTCCTCAGCGTCTCCAATAGATACAACACGGTCGCCTATAGTGTGAGCCGCATGACCATCACCGAAAGCCCTAACGTGATCCTTAAGTGACCTCTTATGCTTAAAATCTGACCCACAAACGCAAAACCACAACTTCCCACAATTCTTCTCATGCGTTCTCCAGTCGCCTCTCACAGCAAACGTTTTCTCACATTTCTTGCGGCAACGAAAAGGCTTTGCTCCGTGCTTCCGCTTGTAATGCGTCTGAAGCGTTCTAAAGTCTTTGAGAGGCTTTGATCTTGGATGGTCTATGTTGTTCTTACAACCTTCTGCACAACAGTAACATGGCAGCCTTAGTATCGAAGATGACGATTTCGTCCCTCGCAGTGACTCTGGACCCTTTCGGTATTGCGAACCATGACCCCACATATGCATCTACAGATTAAAAAACATTATACAAAAGATGTGACTTGAATAAAACTTGGTCATCTCTTTCACGTAAATTTACATATCATGAACGTTTTTGATAACATGAAAAACTTACATATATATGATTTTACAATATTTATGCAGATAATACGAGAATTTTTTAGATTGATACGCATGAAATTGAAAGTTGATTCAACAGTTTTTATTCGTGACAATTTAATTCAACAAAAAACTTTTCTTTAACGACACTAAATCAGCTAGCAACAATTATCATAGTATGTACTATGTAGACAATATCATAATAATTAACGTGGAAGTGAAGGGAAAGTTAAATCAAGAAAACTTCCTGTGGATGATAATAAGTAAATCATTTCAAACCTGCATGTTGTTGAAGCGGTTGAAAGTTTTGTTACAGACAGAACAAGAGAACTGAGTGGGACCGACGAGGATCTGAGAAAGCGAAGGGATCCAATACTGTCCCTGCCTCGCCGTTAAACCGGCCTCCTGATTGTTCCCACCGGCTAGGGTTTCTTTGTCTGAATTTGGAGGACCGATATGAAGAGCAACGGTGACGCCACTAGGGTTTGTTGATGGTAGATTAAACTCATGGTTAGAAGAAGGTTTAGTGCTAGCCGCTTTGTTATGGCTAGTACTATATTGGTGGCCAGGAGGTCCAAGGCTGAGGACGACGGAGTCTTCGTCACCGGAGATGCAATATTGGTTATTGTTATACATTAAGGAGATAGAGAGAGAGATGCTAGAGGGATGGGGTTTTGAGGAAATGGTGGAGAAAGACAATGGAGGCTGGACGAACTGGTAACTAATAAATGATTCTTTTTATTTTGTACTTGCTTTTGCTTTTTTATTTCTTCCTCGTCAATTTACGTGTTACAAGTGACAAACCCATGTTTGGTTCCAAATATCTATATATCTATTCATAGTTATATATATATAACTTATATTTCTACAGTGTTTTATATTTCTACAGTGTTTTATATTTCTACAATTTGTTTTTACCTTTGAATATATATGAATGGTATTTAATCATTTTCGTAACATACAAAGAATCCACTGGAGTATATCAATATGAGATGATTTATAAGGAACCTTATTTACAAACATAAGGAAACTCTATTTACAAACCTTTCCATTAATAGTTTCTATAATTAGCATATGAAAGTTTATGCATGTACTTATAAATATTATAATAAAACAGTTTGATTGATTTATCATCATATACGCACTAGATAAATTCATTTTTGACATAAAACGTTTTCATATTAAAATAATTGGCTACATCGGTCTTTAACTTATGAAGAAAATCTATGTAAAAAAAAATAAAAAAAGATTGACGTGGGCGTCTGTCATTATTAGCAAAGAATGTACTATTCACTTGGAACTCGCTCTCCTTTCTAGGATCTCAAAACCATTCTTTGTTTCACGACTACTCTCTTTCAAATTTTTTCTTGTATATTTTATAATATTGAAACTTGTATTATATCTGAGTGATCATTTACTCTCTCCTCATAAACCATAAGAAAAGATGACGAGAGTAGAGTACACACACACACTCTGATACAAAAGAAAAGCAATAGACATGGAGAAACGTGGCGTTAACTGTAGATGCGAAAGCTTCTCTCTCTCTCCACTTTCATCATCTGAGTTCTGCACAACTTACTGAGATAGTGATAGTCTCAGAGTGATGATGATATTATTAAAGCTCCCATTTTATTTTATTTTCTATACAAATCTTTTGCTGCCAAAAGTTACCCATATAATCTATTCTCAGTCTTTTTTTACTTTAGTTTAAAATCTAAGGAGAGTGGTGGAAGTTTGCTTATTTGCTTGTTAATGGAACTGGAATGTAAAAGTTGGACGAAAGTGCACATTTTGCTTTGCTTCAATTCTTCAATTAATGCTAAAGGCATATGGTTTTTAGGTTTTGCTCATAAAACTAAAATATAGAAATCGTATGCTGCAATCAAAGATACGTTTCTGAAATTATTTGACCGGCTTTCCTATATCATTAATAATTTGAATAATTTTAGGTCAAGTTCGTTCAGATTTTGGATTTCAGAAAACGTATAGGTTTCTCTTTTCTAATTTTCAGTTTTTTTTTTTAATCTTCACTCTTCAGTACACTGTCAAAAACCTACATAGAAATTATACGCTTGACATAAAAATAAGTTGAATCTCACAAACCTAATTTTTTAACGGTATCTCCTATATAAAGTTATATAAAAAAAAAAGGATAGTTAGGTCAAATGCAACTAGTTTTTGGATTTTAGACTTATCCATTTAATTAGACAGTTCTTTATGTGATCTTGCGATCCTCAAATGCGTGGTGTTTTTTTGTTAATTATGAAATTATGCTACTATAAGTCTAGACTGAGATAGTTGGATTCGCACCCTTTTAAAGCGGTTCTTAAACTTATGCCACATGAATGAATATAATATATATATAGGACTAGATTATACTATGATCCTTAACTGTAGGTGACGACTGTTCAAACAGAATCTTCGAGCCTCAAGTATTGCTTTGTAATAGTCCACACGAGGCTTTGAACCGAGGTACTTTTTATTTTGATTAGAAATATCGAAAGAAACCTTAAAACAATGTCGTAGAGAAAGAAAAATAAGTTAGCAAAGAAACACACAAACATATATTATATGAAATCTTGGTCCGATCAAAGTTTTTTCATTGTTTTGGATGATTGAAGCAGTTAGATTCTGAAGCTTTAAAGGGTCCGAAGAAGAAGAGCACAAAATAGTACGACTGAAACAAAACTGTAGCTCCCTCATCTCCTATGTCTCTCTCTCTGCTCTGTCACGTTATGTTTTTTTTTTATAATAATATTTATTTTGTTTTTCTATTTTTCTTTTGTATTTAAATGCAACTTTTGGAATCGAACACATGAATGTAATTTGTAAAAGCCTCCTTTTCATTTGTCTTGTAAGTTGACTCACTCACAAATCCTCTTCTCTAATCCCAACACTTTCTTAATCTTTTCACTTCTTATTTTTTTTTTTGTCTAAGATGACTATCTATATAATAGTGTAATTTTTCCTGATAAGTGAGAAAATAAAATTGTAAACTTGGTTACTTGTTGGAAATCATTCACGTCCCGACAATTTATTTGATTTTTTTTTTCTTTGTCACATTCGAAACTTTTAAGAAGTTAGTGTGTTGTACTTCAGTCGCAAAAAGTCTAAATATTGTGAAAAGGCCAAAACTAAGCTGGCAGGTCTAAGTTGACAAGAAGAAACAAAACTATGGGCCTAGAGGGCTTGAAAATGATAAGCAATCCGGTAATGGTGTTAAAGACAGTGTGCTTTTATCGATCTGGTCGAACGTGGTTTGATGTGAGCCTTTTGATATAACGGTGAATATGACCTCTCAGTGTCTGAAGAGACAAAATTCGACAGTAAGAAGCCAAATTAGGGACAATTGAAAGGCAATTAGAGGGTGGATAACATATACAGTGTGCCAACTCATTCAAATTTCCAATCTAATCAACGACAATTTGACTCAATAATCACTGAAAATTATATCATTAAAGGTCACACACAGCTACATCATTCACAAAATCTTCCTGATCTGTTTTGATTATTTTAGTCTTCTAAACAGTAAAAAAGCCATTCATGAAAGTTACTAGGTTCGAACCAATGCAAATCACGTTTTCGAAATGTCACGCAATAATTTTAAGATAATATACACTGTTAACTGTATTTTAAAATGATACATTCAAATATGTATATAATATGTACAAGTGAAGAATATTATTGGTGATAATCAATTTCTGACAACCAAAATAGTTTATTTAAATAAATACTAGAACATGCATACACATTAGTGTTTTTTTTTTTTTTTGGGTTGAGAAGAAACCTTTCCTAGATAGTACAACCACAAAGTCATACCTCGCATATTGTTTAACATTTCATGCATTCAAGAACAAAACAAATATCCATGCATCAAGGTCAAACCAAATTAGATTTTAATTTGCTTCCCTTTTCATGTCAATGAGGATCGGATAAAAACTACATATATTAGTACCGTCCAATTTGTAAGATCTGACTAATTGAATAGTCCAAAATGCATTAGAAGTATTCTAATAATTAACATCTGTACTTATGATATATATGTATATTTGTGATCACCACTCGGTTTAGGATAGACACCACCATTCATCAATAACAAATTTTGTTCTATCAAAACGGTAAAAACTTTTAGACAATTTATTTACGCGTCATTTATTTTGTTATTTTCCCTGTTATTATAATGTCCTGTTTTCATATTTTTGAAAAGGATTCAACATAATGTTCATTAAACTCTTTACTTTTTATTTGTAGAAAAGTACGAATTTTTTATAGCGATAAGGTAGAAACTTGAATGGGCGGAAATAGTATATATATAATTAGATCAGTTTTCAAATATAGTTAAGTATTTCTTGATTGTGAAAGGCATTGGAAAACCATTATCTTGGAGAGATGGAATGAGCGAGGCATGAGGATCTTTGATGATACAGTCCAACACGTTATGGTTTTTTCATGTTTTACTTGGAAATAATCAGAATACAAGTACTTAATGTTACCGGCCAACACTCAAAGACATCGACACATATATAAGATATATAAACTAACTAATTATTATATACGGTATGGATAATACAGTAGAACTTATTCAACAAAGTCAAGATTCTGTGACATTTTAATTTCTTGAAAAAAAAATATGTGAATCCTAATGGATAAAGGGCTAAAAGAAATAAACGGATAGAAAAGGGAAAAAAAAACGTAGATGAAGGTATGGCCTTTTTTGTTTTGTTTTTCTGCTCCCTTGTTTTGGCTTCTTCATTAGGAGACATTTGGCTTTTGAGTTCAATGTCATTTAGTAGTGAACACTTTTCCATTAACAAAATTTAAATATCATCATATTTTGATCATATTGTAACAAGGGCAAAATACATAATATTAAATATAGGTGATGCATTCTATTTTTATTTTTGTTTTCTTTCGAGCTTGTCTAATTAACAAGAACTGTACTATAAATTAGATGAAGTGTGAGGTAACTAACTAAGAAAAAATATCTCAAAACGGTTTATTTAAATTTACTCTCTCGTTTGGAAAACAAAACGTAGCATTTATGGTAAAAGCTTGTCGTATTAAATACGGCAATATCCATGCAGTGATTAAGGAATAAATCCAGTCACTAATCTAACTGGAAGTTTATTTAACATTAAGAAGTTCATAACTCACCAATCACATACTATATGGATTAGATTCTAGACCATTATGTATCGAATAAATATATAAGTAAAATTAGCATTCATCTTTTTTCCTTTTCTCTTTTTTTTTTGTCGTCTTGTATGCATTTTGACATTATTAATAAATTACCTAATGAAGAATCACATTTCCGAATATTCACCACTCCTTATCTACTACTAGCTAGCTAGCAACAAGACATATATATAATCAAATTGGTTTCGTTTTCTTATAAACATTTACATATATATAAACACAAATCAAGGTGCATAAATATTAAATTATGAAACGCAAGATTCGTCTTGTACGTAATGCGACGGCCCGACTTATGTTTTTTTTTTAATCTCTCAAAATACTAATCCTGGAGACCTTATATAAATAGAGAGAGAGAGCCATATATATGTATTGATCCTTCTCTATAAAGCAAACCAAATCTCAAATTAAAAAGGTGGATTAGTTTAGTCCATCATGATAAAGAATTTAAGCAATATGGATTACAATCAGAAAAGGGAGAGATGTGGGCAATACATCGAAGCCCTTGAAGAAGAACGTCGCAAGATTCATGTTTTCCAACGTGAACTTCCTCTTTGCTTGGACCTTGTAACTCAAGGTATCTATCTATCTATGACAACATGTATTTACTACATGAATTAAATGAAAACTACAATATACGTGTGAAAATCATAGTATCTAATAATAACATTTTGATATTTTCTTATTATTTTTTTCTGAAGCGATCGAGGCATGTAAGAGGGAGATACCGGAGATGACGACGGAGAATGTGTATGGACAACCAGAGTGCTCGGAGCAGACGACCGGAGAATGTGGCCCAGTCTTGGAGCAGTTTTTAACCATTAAAGACTCATCCACCTCCAACGAAGAAGAAGATGAAGAGTTAATGGACGATGAGCACGGTAATCATGATCCGGACATAACTGATTCCGAAGACAAGAACACGAAATCTGATTGGCTTAAGTCTGTTCAACTCTGGAATCAACCCGACCCTCTTCTTCCAAAAGAGGTAACTATATATTAGTCTTCATTATTATCTTATAATTAGTATACAAATGCCACCGTAGCTATTAGCTAATTTAACATGTTATCTTCTTTGGTCCGATAAATTTATGGATATAATTTCTTGGTTAATATCTCAAAGAGTTAACGATCTAATTATATATGCGATTTGTGTTTCAGGAACGGTTGCAACAAGAGACGATGGAGACAATGAAAAGAGATGAGAGTATGAGAAAAGATCCGATGATGAACGGTGGCGAAGGAAGGAAGAGAGAGGCGGAAGGAAGAAAGCAAAGAAGGTGTTGGTCTTCGCAATTGCATAGACGCTTCTTGAACGCTCTTCAACACTTAGGTGGACCTCATGGTGCGTTTTTTTTTCTTTCTTTTCTATGAGTTAATTTTTTTTTTAAACGATTTATTGTTATCAAGGGTTTAGTTAGTATAGACTATATACTGATTTTGATGATTGAATTTTGCAGTAGCCACGCCAAAGCAAATAAGGGAGTTTATGAAAGTTGATGGATTAACCAATGATGAAGTTAAAAGCCATTTACAGGTAACTACATTAAGCACATGCAAAAATTTATTTTTTATTTCTTTCTATAATTGACGTATAGAAAAAAGAACAGAAAATTATATTTACGCTTATCGTAATTTTTGTTCATTTGATTATATATTTATAGTTTTTTTTTCAATATTAATGATAACTTAAAATATACACTATTCTGTACCAATTTGATGTTAATCTTGTTTTCCTTATTTGGATATATAATAATAGAAATATAGACTGCATACAAGAAGGCCACGCCAAACAGTTTCTAACAACGAAAACTCTCAAACGCAACATTTCGTAGTCGTAGGAGGTTTATGGGTACCACAATCAGACTACTCTACGGGAAAGACCACCGGAGGAACCACCGCCAGCAGTACCACCACCACCACCGGGATCTATGGAGCCATGGCCGCACCTCCACCGCCACAGTGGCCTAGCCATTCCAATTTTAGGCCGTCGATTATTGTGGAAGAAGGATCGGGAAGTCATAGTGAAGAAGTGGTGGTCAGGTGTAGCTCCCCGGCGATGTCTTCTTCTACCCGTAACCATTACGTCAAGATTAATAATTAATTTGTTTTTTTACTGCCTCTAATGTTTTGGGTCGTCATTTAATATACTTGTTTTGTTCTCTCCATGTTAGAATTTGATACCGTGATTAAAAGAGTGTATAGAGTTTTGCACCGAACCAATCTTTATATTTTTACTTAGGATATTTATTCCATATTTATTTTGCAGTTTATTAGTTTCATCTTACCATTGTTAATTTTTCAACATTGTTGACTTCTTGTTGTAATGATTTTCGATCTTTGCAAGCTCGCATTTGAAATAAATTTATGAGGGTTTGTTTTATCACATTAAATTATGATAATTTAACACTAATTATCTTATCAGTTTACACTAAAATATATTATTGTGGCTGCTGTTTTCCGCACTAATTAGATGATCCATAATATATGCTGATATTAGATCGCATTTGGTATATGTCTCTATATTCATATGTGTGTATACAGCTAGTATGAACATGGCGGCCAGAGTCGAGCAAAAAGGATCTTATTCATCATAGTATATACTAAATATTTGTCGATCATATTATAGAAATATGCACAAAACCACATGATAACAAAAAAAAAAGAGAGAGACAGATTTGATTATAATATAATAAGACCAGGAGTAGAAGTTATTGAATTGGTTGCATTCATGGGACGAATATGCTCGAATCCGGAAAAGCATAACTTACTATAAGTATAATTTTCACAATTTTATATAATTGTCTCTATAATATTAAATGTTTTGATTCTCATGTTGCTTGAAAATTAAATATACAAAATTGCACGTTAGCTGCAATGTCCCTGTCGCAAAGTATATTCTCTAACTTTGGTTTAGCGAAGACTTTTTATTCATTATACAGATAGGGTTAGGTCACTTTAAATATTTGCAAAATTTGGACAGTATCTCTAAGAATCTTGAATACTAATCTAAAGATTCCTTTATTCATTATATTTGTTTAATCAGCCGTACAGATCTTACCATTTAGGTTCTCGCCATTCACAGGTGGCTCTAGTTGCTAATGTGGCCTTTTTAAGAAACTTATGTGTCCCTCTCTACAAGATTATTGGTGGGTGCAATATAATAATTCCTCTAAGATATCTAGATATAATGTACTATAACAAATATAGTTTTAAACGAGGTTTTGATGATATAAATAGTAATACCTACTCAATAAACCATTTTAATGCTCTCTTCTTCTTCTTTTGGTTATTTCAATTTGTTTTCAGCTTCTACGATAGGTAGAAGTGAACTCATACTGAAATATAAACAAAGCATAACTAGAATAATATTAAGCTATCATTATTTTTATTTAGGACAATATTATTTGATTCAAATTTCTTATTTACTCCCATAGATAGAGTCAATTATTAAGAATATACTATAGTTTTGAGACAGATTTTTCAAACGCACTAATAAGATGGTTTCGTTTTCAAGATCGGATCAATCTGGCTAGTCATTCCATGTGCAGAATAAACAAAGAAATTTAATGTAATTAGTTAAGTATTTTACTTTGAAATATAATATGATATATATACAGAGTGTTTTGACGATAGATCCAAATGACCAGGAACCAGATTAGGATTCATTAGGTATAAAGTTTGAAATAATTAGGGATATGCTAAGCTTTAAGCATGAGTTAAGGTGGCCTTTCACACAATGTAAAGGACAATATTGGCTCTTGATACTTATTTAAAGAAGCAGTAATTATGACTAAAACAAGGAAAATATTGGCTTTTATTGGTCTAATCTCTTAACACTTAAAAAAATCAGATACATGGGATATTCGAATTGACCTAATTAAGTCGTTATATTAAACTAATAAGAGAAGAGTATAAATTTGCATACGACCTTACCTTTATCAATTATCACCTTCTGCACTATTCATACATGTCTTAAGTACGTGCTAATTTTGTTTTTAATCCTTCATTATAGCAAAATAGTGTTTGACATTTGTGAAATTTAATCTTGTTTTAAATCCTCAGCAAAATGGTTGACATTGTGAAATTTATCTTTCACTATACAATATTGAAATTTTCGAAGATTCTTCGTGACTAGTAAACTAGATAGAAACAACGGCAAAAAAATGTCTAAGAATGTTTGAAAATAATGAGTATTATTATAATTTAAACGATACAAGCAAATAATGAGTATTATTATAATTTAAACGATACAAGCACTGTCATCACATCTTCAAACGATCTATATCTCTTTATTATTCGAAGGTCGTATTCATTACCTTGAGATATATATATCAAAATACATTATTATATATTATCTTGGTTCTGTCTTCTAACTTCTAAGTTCTGACGACTAAAAATTACATTTTGTAATTGAGACAACGAGAAAGGTTTATTGACATTTGATTAAGTAATGGGCTTAATTATGCTGGAGCTAATCTGAGTTTGGGCTAATCCTATATCTAGTGCCTAATGTTAGATAGGCATGTCAATCGGGCTAGCCCGGCCCGGCCCGGCCCGAAACCCGTAAAATCCTCATATATGTGAGTCCGGTTCGGTCCGGCCCGAAAAATTTCCGAGCCTATATTTCAAAGCCCGGCCCGGCCCTAACAGGGCTACAGGGTTTTTCGGGCTTTTTTGGGCTTTATTTACCGATAAAAAAATTAATTTCTAAGTTCATAATAGTTTTTTAAAAACTATATTTAAAGGTCTACTATAAAAATAATGCATCAAATTTTAAATAACTTATCAATATTCAATAAAACTAACTTAATTTAAGAGAAAAAATAAAAGCCAAATAAATTATTTACACTTTAACCCAATAAAACATGGAACTAAAATATTTTAAAGTATAAGATAGAGTCAAAATTTAATAGATATTTTGATGATTTCAAAATCATGATACTTATATATATTTAGTTTTAGCTTTGTATAAAGATTTTTAAAGTAATAAGTAAAACTAGTAAGTAAATATGAAAACTATAACATTAATCAAATCTTTTAATCAAACTAAAATATTCAAAAAATTCAAAATATATTTGTATAAGGGCTTTTCGGGCCGGCCCGAGCCCGACCGGGCTAAGCCCAAAAAGCCCTTTAGCCCGAATGGGCTTAGCCCAAAAGGCTCGGTTTTTTCTGGACATATATATTTAAGCCCGAGCCCGATGTTTTTCAGGACCGGGCCAAACTAGCCCGCGGGCTTTAGCCCTAATTGACATGCCTAATGTTAGATGACAAAAAATTGCATTTTGAATCAAAGAAGAAAGTATGTATCTGAGTGTTAAAATCACCTCTACTTCAAAATATAAAACCGTATATGGTTTCATAATGTTATGCATTAAGTACAAGCTATAAAACCAGATTTTGTAAAACAGAGTAATTACTGCACAATTAGATAACTTTTTAAATGATGGCAAAGGATTGTGTCACACTCACATATCACACACCTTAATCTATTCTCCAAACTTAAAAAGAAGCAAAAAAAAAAAAAAAAGAAGTTATCGTACAGTAGTTGAATCTGCTTCTACAACTTGAATCGAAGTTCTCGTTCCAATCTAGTGGGAGTGTAAGAGATGAGTTCAACAATCTTTTTACCTTCTGGAAAAGGTATCTCATTATTCACTGGAATCTTCTGTAACATCATGGAATCGTTTAACTTCTCATACTTAGACATGGTTTTAGCTGCTTCATCTCTCTCTGTCTTGAATATCGATATCCATGTGTCGTCTTTCGAGGGCGTACTCTTCTTCGCGGCTGCTAAGGCACGCCGGAGAACTCCAATCGCTTCGCCTACTCGATCTTCGGATTCCAGCAATTTCGCCAAGTGTTTTTGGCTCTTTAGCTCGTGTAAAGCTCCCAGAGTTGATACATATTCCTACATGATCAATCAAATAAATTAATAATCAAGTAGAGAGTTGTTGCTTCATCTTAGCTTCTAAAGAAGATATAAAGCAAAGTTATCTTTTTACATTCAAGAAACAGAGGATTAAGGCATTTAAGTAAACTAAGTACACCAACTAGATAAGTTCCAGACCAAGATTTGGTTTCTTCTATATGCAAAAAAGACATAAGAAGAGTATCTAGATACCAACTAGACATGTTTTTTTTTATTTGTATCTCTTGTATGGCAGAGAGTGTATTTAAATAGTGAAACAAAAATTGGTTGCTCTTCACGTATATAGAAAAGTTTTAGGGATATGCGACTTACGAGAAAGCGGGTCGATAGGTCTTTATATTCTCCTTTAGCTCTAGATGACAAAATAGCATAGGCTTCAGAAATCAACTGACATATTCCGTAATGCAGTTTTGACAATAGGCTTGTGCTTGTGCCGCTTTCTTCAGCGTTCTTTGTAGTTACAGCCTATTACATAAAAAAATATATATATAAATGAAGAGTGGTAAAATGAAATGAAGAGCTCTTGTGAAAAAACTGAGGTAAGAGGCTACTAACCTGACCTTCAGCTAAACAGAGGAGACTCAAAGAAGAGCAAAGCGGAGGTGTTAGTTCCGGAAGCTTCCCTAGAGGAACCACGTTTTGTAAAGAAGGAAGAAGCTCCTTAGACAGATGATGAAAAACTCCAGATGCTTCTCGGTAGATTGTTACCGATTTCTTACAATCTGTTGCAATAAGGACCAAGATTATGATGAGTTAATGAAAAAGCAAATACAGAAAATGAAAAAAAGAAGGCCTAAGTACGTACCTGTGGATGCTAGTTCCATTGCTCTCTCACGGAGCTTAATCCCGTTAACGAAAGTAACCATAGCAACCTCAAACATTATGTTATCGACTTGGAAGAACTTAGGACATGTACGCTGAATCAAGGTCTGAGAGACCAATCCACTACTCCATCTTATCTTAAGATTCGGTACACGTTTAAGCTTATCGAAGTAATGCACCAAGTTTAAGAGTAACGGAAGGTATTTCCCAAGTCTATAGAGATCCTGATGAAATAATCCAAAAACAATCTCTCTAAGCAGCAAGTCAAAAGCTTTTTTAAAAAAAGCTTACAAAATAAATAGGTTTGTAAATTGTAATATTACCTGGTCGGAAGGAGAAGTGAGTCCTCCGGTCGTAAATCTTGCAGCTGTAGCACTGAGTTTGCTGGTTTTGTTTACGGATTCTTCGATTACTTTACGCCTACCAGTCAACTCTTTAAATTCAACCAGCGTAACTGCACTATCAGTTTGTAACGTCTTCTCGAACACAATCTGTTTTTTTTTTTAAGGTAAGCAAAAATATTACAAAACTGAGAACGATACAAAACTCTTCTTAAAATCACACAAATATACAAAAACCCTAAAACCAGAACGTGGAATCCCAACAGAGAGATATCGACGACGAAACAGAACCAAAGAAAAATAATAAGGTTACCTCTTTAGTTTTTGGTTCTGGAATTACATACTGCATCATCGTCGTCATACTTCTTCTCCGATAAACACTCGATGATGACTACGTAACTATTACGCCAGAGTGAAAAACAAAATAAATAGACATAACCGAGAGAAACAGGAGGAGAAGACTCAGCAACTTTTGTTGTCGTTTAAATAAATAAAAAAACTCAGGAAACGCAATTCCTGTGGGGTTTATGAGTATTTTTTTTTTTTCTTTTTAAAAGATATTCAGATAATTCCTATTGCAAGTCATAACAAATCAAATAGAAGTATATTTTTAGGAAATTATCAACAAAAAATGCAATAAAAAAACTTTTGATCCAACATATTTTTCTTTTTTTTTGAACTTTTCGAGGTAGTTTCAAGTTTCGCTATAGCCTCCTAGGTCAAATTAAGTGATTGTGTTTCCTTCTACGACAAGGTTTTGACTTTTGATGAAATAGTCTTCCAAGTTATAACGACACCAAGCTGAATCTAATGATATGTTGAATCTAAAAGCCCATGGGTTTGTAACCAGACGACTCTACAAGTTGACCAATTAAAATATTCCAAACTATTTGCGATGAATCTACTAATTTAATTTAGTCAAGTATGTAATTTCCAAATCTTGAATCTCGAAAGCAACTGTTTCTGGACACGAGTGACCAAAACAATAAAGAAGCAAAAAAACATGAAGCCAACATTACATTAGTAGCAGAGAGAGACAATGGACAAACCTCGTAAGGTTACCTACTGTGTAAAGTAAACACAACACAGTAGTAAGAAAGTATCGTTTACAAAAACACTCATGAAAAGCCAAAAAAAAAAACACATTGTGTTTCTGTTTTCATTATTTATTTTAGCTAGACATCATCACAGTGTCAATAGATTGGAGGGCTTGATTTGCGAAAAACCGTACATCAACGTCTGGGTCTTCACTTAGCTCCACCAAGCATGGCCGTATCATGCTCTCCACAACCTTTTTTCACAACCAACAAAAAGTACAATATTTGAATATATGGACGTTTTGATTTCCTAATGAGGACAATGTGGAATCATAAGCTCTTTCTCTCTACTTGTGAGAACCACAAAAAGACAATGCTGTGTGAATGGATACTAACCGATTGGTCAACTATTGGAATCAGAGATTGCATCATTTTGGCGACGTTAAATTTTATGTTGGGAACTCTGATAAGAGGAGAGAGTGGTTTTTAAGTTAGTCGTTGGGAGTAATGATATGAGTCAATGATATTTCATACTTTCAGAGAGAGAGAGAGAGAGAGAGTTGCCTGTCTTTAGATGCAGTTATAACCGCAGGCAAGAGTTTGGAGCATGTGATCTCGGATCCCATTACTGGAGCAAGAAGTGAAACAGCACGAAGAATCGTCATCCGGTATAGATAGTGAGGGTTGTTAATCATCTCTAGAACCTGCACAAGTAAATATACTCACATAAACAATAGCAAAAATTATCGATTTGAATCAAAATGAAGGAAAAATATACCAGACGCTTAAGATTTCTAGACAAACCTGAGGAACTATATGCTGCATTGCCCATTCAGGACCAAACTCTTCAGCAAGACGCTTAAGATTGTTCGCAGCAGCTTCGCGGATTGAGTGAACCTGAAAATATAAAGTTTCCAAAAATTTGAAATGGTAGAGATTACGGATTTAACTCTCTGATGATTCAATGGAGGTAGAGAATGAGGGACCTTGTCTTGTAACCATTGCATGCAAAGAGCACCAAGCTTATCGTCAAAGAATCCTACACCTAATTGGCTGGCCAACAAGGGAATATACTCAATTATAGCCAGACGTACCCTCCAGTGCCTGTCTTCGGCAAGTTCTACAATGGCTGGCAATAAAGATTGTGATAGTAGATCTATCCCAATAACCTGCCAATTTTAAAAAAACAAATAACCCGCATCATCATCTGAAAAATGGATGGACAAAGACGTTGCTGTCAAGTAATCTTTGACTTGACCAAAACATGAAATCTTGAACTCAATGTTGTGCAAAGAGATACGTAACTTGATCCTAACAAACCTGGTTCACTTCGTCAAGTTTGCTGATAATGTTTAAGCGTACATCAGGAAATTCGTCCTTCAACAGAGAAAGAAAGATTGGAAGAAGATGTTCAATTGTTGCGTCCTGCAATGAATATCAAAGCTAAGTTAAAAAATGCATGGTTTCAAACATACGAAATCATCGTTATCTTAAAAGATGCTAAAGCTGCGTACAGTATTATGAGCATTTTGACTCCAAACTACAGAGCCAATTTTTTTTTTGTATAGATGACAGTATTCATGGTAGGAGAGGCACATTGTATCGGCTTTTCATTCCACTTACCTTACCCAAGACTGGAGCCATCCCCATTATAACTGAGGCCAATGCAGATCTGACGTGCTGAGAAGAGTCTGATGATAATTCCTACAGGTAGGTTTAACGATAAGTTAATAGTAATAAGCAAACACCAACTGTATATTGGCCCTTTGTGAAATAAGAGATCAATCAACTACTCATAAGCATATACCTTTACACAGGGAAGGATATGTTGGATCGCGAGTTCAGGGTTTAAAATGCGACAAAACTTAGTAACTTTTCCAGCAGCTGCTATCCGAACTTCAGCCTCATTATCACGAAGTAGACGAACATATGCAGGCACCAAATCCGTCCTTCATATACAAGGCACATAGACAAGGATTAAGAAAAACTATGAAGATGGCTCCAACAAACATAACCTTCCAAGTACCATATACCTCTGAAGCCAGTATTATAAAGTTTGATATGGAATTGCAAAAATAGAGGTCCACAAAAGACATCAATTAAATTAAAACCATTGCTAAGTTCAACCATCATTGCTTACCTAGTTGGCTCTGGTCCTACAGCTTCACAAAGTTCATAGAGCTGATTTGCAACCATATAACGCACACGCCAGGACTTATCCTATTCAGAGACAAAATATCAAGATAAAGCAGCATATACTTATCTGCTTACAGCTTTACTTACCTGTCATACTCTATCATATCTGCTCAGAGATGAAATTCTACCATATTTACACATTTACTCACCTGCGAGAAATTGACAATTACAGGAAGAATGTGAGTGACACAGTCCTGGGGCTCCAACAATTTCCCAAGAGCAGCACATCCCTCAACAGCCAATAATCTGACTGAATCTTGATCTGATATTGATGTCAATAAGATAGTTAAAAGCTATATGATCATCATACAAGTAAGACATTGAAACTGATATGTGAACAAAACTAGTGCTGTTTTAGCTTCATTTAATGCTCAGTGTTCAATGCAGTAACCCTATTACTGCTTTTATTTACATTAGTCACACTCACCCCTATAACAGACCTGATGAAATTTTTAAAGAGAAATATACTGGCGAAATGAAACCATATAAAATAAAAAAACATACCATCTTGTGTAAGATCCTCAAACATGGACATAATGTCTGTCTTCAAATGAGCTGATTCAATTGTAGCAGCAAACTTCCCCAAATTCGTTGCTGCAGCTCTGCGCACCATTGGCATGTCATCTTGACAAAGCTGACTGTATACTGATCTTAGCTCCATCTTTAGCAGTTCTGGAGCACTTGGGTATGCAATATGGAAAATCCCACATGCTGATACTCTGGCTGTGAACCATTCACCAGCTGAAAGTCGCTGTTAAATAATGATGGTGTTCAGTAAGCTTAGTTGCTTATACATTATGAGCATATCAAACATTTTGGTTCCTATACAGGTGCATGGTCACATACAAAACTACAAATACAACCTAAAAGCACGCTACAGAAGCCAGAATAATATGATGGATGTTCTCTTAGATCAAACAAAATAGATGTAAACGACTTCAACCTACCGATTCCCCTAAACAACTAAAAGAGGAACACTGAACATGAGGCAAAAGCAAATTACCAAACTTGGGCGACAAAGGACCCAAAAAAACTATGTTCTTTTGCTTTTAGGTTAGCTCAATTTTACAAGGCTGGTTAAGTTAGTGAGAGCATGAAAAGCGAAAAAATAAATTGACCAAAGAGATTGATAACAGGAGTAGTAATTCTTAGCTAACCTTAGCCAGAGGAAAGAAATGCTCAACCAAGTCAGTCTCCCTCATCTGAGAACCAATTCTGCAAAGTGACTCTACAGCCTTTTCCCTCACGCAAGTTTCCTCAACGGTCGAGAGAGTCTCCAGCGGTGGAAGCAAAACATGTGCATGCTCAACGCCTCCAACGTAAGGAATAAAAACACCCAACTCTTCCGCCATCGCCAGGAGAACCTCATCATCATCGTCATTGTTTTCACTAAGAAATGGGATCAACTCTTTTCGTGTCCTCTCTTCTCCAAGAGCACGAGCAATGATAGAAAGCCGTCTAATTGAGTTCAATCTAAGCTGAATATCATCGTTTTTTAGCTCATCTATAAGCACAGCAATCGGGTATAGAGGCTCATCAACCATAGACATCCTGACCAAAGTCAAATCACTCCCTACCTTCAAACAACAAAATGTACACACAAGTCAGAATTAAACACTAAGTATAGAGACACACCATCAATACAAAAAATGATAAAGTTACAAACTTTAAACTCAATTCTGCCTCTGAGATAAATTCAAAGGTAAGCCATTTAACCAAAAAATAAATTAGCATCAGAATCAAACACGAAAAGAAGACCTAGAGAGACTACAACCATTCATTGACGATCTAAACGAATAAATGGATTTTCAGATTTATTCGAAATTGTTTCTAATTGAAATAAATGATCGAGACTTTACCGATTACGCTGTTTTCCCAGTTCCGAGCGATCTATCAATCATAGAGATTCAGAAGAACGACAATCAGAACCGGAGAGGTCTTTCTCAGCAGCTACCGATCTCAGGCAGTGTCCATAGAATTGGGCCTGTCAAAGAACAATATGGGCTTATCTATAGTGTATATAAAGGCCCATATATCTAATGAAACCGTTTTAATGGGCTTATCTATACGCCGCCGTTTTAATCTCTCTCGTATATAGGAAGCTTCTCACACTTCTTCTCAACGTGATATTGTGTCTTCTTCCTCATAAAAATATATCGGAAAAGGAAAAAAAGTAGCTTTCTCTTTCGCTGGTT